AGTATGCAAATAATAGTCCCACTACCTTAAGGCATGACTATATCACATGACCATATATGGTCATGCAACCTCATTAATATGCATAATTAGAATTATTGCAGATAGGCAAAAGCAACTAATGTTATAATGCAGGCATCAAACAGGGGACATAATTAAAATATTGAATACCATATATACCGGTATATATACCACATCAATATGTATAACTGTCATATTTCAAGTGCAGGTGTAGGTAGGAACATGCAACCTATAATAAAGTGCATCGAACAAGATATACTGTAAAACATGTCTTTTTCGCGAGCATGTCTTTTTATCAAATTTAGCAAGAAAACTGATTCGCTAATTTAAGATGTCGCTAATGATTTTATTATGATTTCAAAATGGCGGCCAATTAACGTCTTTTTCTCCACACACACTTTGTAAATAACACAGAAAACGTACAAATCTGGAGCGCTTCCTTATTATACTTGACAGTTTTTCTTTGTTTTCATGGAGGTGAAACTGTGCATTTGTTTTGGCAGACAACAGACAAGTACTGTGAAAACAGGAAATCAACAAAGACAAGAGAGATTTGCTAAATTAACATTTCGCTATTAAGTCATTTTACATGTTTTACAGTATGACAGTATAACACAACAAATGGCCGTACATATTCTTGGTGCCTCATTATTAAGCATAACGCCAAGATCTCAAACACTGTTGCAGATGGGCAAACGCTACTAATTATGTCTAATATATCAGATGTACATATATGTGGTCAAGCGATTTCATTAATAGGTATAATTCTAATATCTATAGCACAATTGAGGACTGACAACCAATGCTATACTGAAAGCATTGGACAAGAGATGCTAGTATACAGATGACCATTTTTGGTCATGTGATCATATTAATATGCATAATTTTATCTCATGCACTGTTGCATACATAGACATGCAGTGAGTGAGATATTTAAGGTACATACCAGACAAGGGGCATGACTAACCTATCAGATGACCATATATGATCATGTGGCCTAATTATGACAGCATAACATATTCATAGTCAGTCAGTCTCATAAAACGTATATATATATACACACAAAATACTAACCAAATTGTCTTGCACTTCTTGTCTCTTCAGGCACATTCATGCCAAGACCAGATGAATCAGATTTGAAAATCAACAAAAATGAGTCTGGACCCCTTTATTTCTTACTTGGTGGCATTATCAAGTAACATTGGTGAAGGTAATACACAGTGGCTTAGATTCAAATTTACAAGTACAGACATTTCGCATCAAAGCATTGTACCATGGCAGCTTAACCAACCATCAGACCACTGACCTTAACCTGGAGTGAGATACCAGTACCTACAAATACAGAGACATTTCTCATATAAGCATTGTAATATGGCAGCTTAACCAACCGTCAGACCATTCACCTTGACCTGAGGTGAGATAGCATTACCTACAAGTACAGAGACATTTCTCATCTGAGCATTGTAATATGGCAGCTTAACCAACCATCAGACCATTCACCTTAACCTGGAGTGAGATAGCATTACCTACAAGTACAGAGACATTTCTCATCTAAGCATTGTACCATGGAAGCTTAACCAACCATCAGACCATTCAACTTAACCTGAGGTGGGATAGCAGTACCTACAAGTACAGAGACATTTCGCATCAAAGCACTGTACCATGGCAGCTTAACCAACCATCAGACCATTCACCTTAACCTGAGGTGAGATAGCATT